GATAAGGAGCACTGGACTTGGAATCAAAAGACTGAGGGTCAGATCAAGGCTCTGCTATATACTTGCTCTGTCCCCCAAGGGCAAGTCATTATAACACTCTGAGCTTCAGTTTTCTCAACTTCTAAAATCGGGATAGTAATACCTGCCTTATGGGATATTTATGATAGAAGCATTTTGTCTGTCTCAAAAGCCTATGCTAATGCAAACTATTATTATTATTAATTTTCAAACTTTGATTCTAAATCCAAGAGGATGTTGGTCCATATTTTATCACTTTAAGACCCTGGCAGGTGCATCTTCTGCTGAAGAATTATTTCCTTCACTCTTCTTCTATTCTCCTCTATATTCTAGCTCTCTTCTTTATTTCTCTTCCTCTGCTTGTCTGCTACATAAAAAATAGGTAGCATATGCAGTAAGTGCTACAAAAAGAAAAGTTTAATATGGGGCCATGTGGAAAAACTTTGTGGAGAGTATGGGGCTTGAGTTGGACCCTGGAGAATGGGTAAGATTCAGTTCCCTGGAAATAAGGAGAAAAAACTGTGTCATTTTGAAGGAACGGCATCAGGAAAGTGCTAAGAGTCGAGACTGGACATGCTTTATTCAAACAACAGTCAGGAAATAATAGCTCAAACTCTCTTCAGCCTGTCCTTTTTAGATTCACAATGCATGACAGTGTCTCCTTCCCAGACTGACACTTTTGAGCTTGTGTCTGCAAAATGCTGAGTTCAAGCATTGGAATTACTTCTGCTTCCACTCTTCCTTATCCTCCCTTTCCCCACCCAACAGTAAGTAGCAGACAGGGAATGCTAAGAGTATGTATCTAGATATGGCAGTGGTAGAAGGGAGAGAGATGGCGAGAACATTTCAAGTTGTGTTGGTTATTTTTTTTTCCTTATGAAGGCACATGACTAATGTTTCCTTGATCTCAAAAGGGGAAAAATCTTTTCAGTGAGAAAACAAAGCCAAGAAACCTTTAAAAGTCCCTTAGGTCAACCTCCTTACAGAATATTTATAGCCCTCTACATAATATCCCTGAAAAGTAGACCTTTAACATAGGCTTGAATCCTCCAAATAGCATGAAAATCAGCATCTCTCAAGGTAGCCCATTTCATTTTGGGGGAACACTTCTAATTTGGGGGAGCATTCTGATTCAAAAAGTGAAAGCAACTCTAAGACTATGTAGAACAAGGTAATACTAGAGGTAAGAGTTCTGATAAGTATGTTGCAGTTAGCCAGAGGAGAGATAAATCACCAAGAATAAAGACATTTTTGTTTTTGTTAAGTCATTTTTCAGTCATGTCTGGCTGTCTGTGACTGCATTTGGGGTTTTCTTGGCAGAGATACTAAAGTGATTTACCATTTCCTTCTCCAGTTCATTTTACAGATGAGGAAACTGAGGCAAACAGGGTTAAATAACTTGCCCAGAGTTACACAGCTAATAAGTGTCTGAGGCCAGATTTGAACTCAGGAAGATGACTGTTCCTGACTCCAGGCCCAGCACTCTACTCATTATGCTACCTAGCTGCCCTGACAACTAGGCAGAAATAATAAAATAAGCAGGCTAAAGAAAGAGTCCATTTTGTTAAAAGAATGCAAACGTGGAATGAAGCATTGAATTAAGTCTGAAAGTTTGTCCTTGGAATGTTGGTGATGTCCTAGTGCTCACTGAGATGGGCAGTAAGGAATTAGGGATAGACGGGAAGTCAATAATCAGCCAAATATTCATTATATTTTGTTTGGCTTTGTGACAAGCTGTATATTTTGATGTTTGTTATAATGGTTCTGGCCCAGAGCAGGAAATTCAGGAGGGCAACAAATGCATCTATATGTCAACTGCAGAGAGGTTGAACCTATGGAGGTAGATAAAATTGCACAGGGTCAGCTAGGTGGCACCACAGGGCACAGAGCACTGTGCTTGGAGTCAGGAATCTTCATCTTCCTGAGTTCAAATCTGGCGTCTGACACTTACCAGCTGTGTGACTCTGGGCAAGTCATTTAAACTTGTTTGCCTCAGTTTCCTCTTCTGTAAAATGAGCAGGAGGAGGAAATGACAAACCATTCCAGTATCTTTGCCAAGAAAACCCCCAATGGGGTCACAAAGAGTCAGACACAACTAAAAACAATTACTGAACAACAATAATATTACATAGGTCCCAGCACAAGAGGAAAAATGCCAGAGGCCCAAAGGCAAAGCCTTTTCCACAGCTAACCACAGATTCCACAGCTATCTGAAGATGGTCTTCCTGCTAAGCAGACACTATTCAAATAATGAAGAATGAGAAAGAAGCCTGAAAAGTACCATATTTTTGAAGGCAAAGGCATAGAAAAATTTTAGCTGCTATGGAAAGGAGATCTTGGATGCAATAAATTGGTGAATGTGCTTTCTGTGTATTTTTTTGGGGGGGGGAGACCATGGGGGAATGGACCCATAGCCTTGTGATATCTTTGGTGCAGCGAAACTCCCAGGGAGGAAACTCTTTCCATAAATGCAGATCAGCAACTTCTTTGTAATTTATGGGTATTAGAGAATTGCATGAATTACTGAGAGATGAAGTGATTTACTAATAATAACAAAGCTAGTGTGTATCAGAGGCAAGACTTGAACCTAGGACTTCTGGACTACAAGACTGGCTTTCCCAACTATGCTGATCCTGCCCTTTTGAACTGGCTTTCCCCTTGCCTGAAATGTCCCTCCTCCTAATTTTGCCTCCTAGATTCCCAGGTTTTCTTCAAAACTTATCTCACATGAAACCTTCCGCAGGAGGCCTTTTCTTGTTTCCCCCAACTTCCTATTCCCTATATGACTTGCTTCCTCAAGGTTACTGAGTATATGTTTTGCACATGCATCTATTTGTGCATGTTGTATTCCTTAAGCTTCTTGAGTTCAGGGATTATGTTGCTTTCATTTATGTGTCCTCAATATTTAGCACATGGCAGGTACTTTGTGAAGGTGATCATGAATATGCTAAAGGTGAGTCACAGGCAAGTGACTGAACAAGTGTATGGACATGTACACATTGTGTCTTTTTAAGAATTACAAATACAATATTCCAAAACCAAAGTACTTAGTCTCACATCACAATTCTGAGACTTACCTATGCTACCTTGAACAAGGTATTTAAGTTACTGATGCTTCATTTTTTTCATCTATAAAATAAGGGATTTACCTTGGATGTCCTTGTGCACCTATGCTCTACAAATACATCTATATGTCAACTGCAGAGAGGTTGAACCTCTGGAGGTATATAAAGTTACATAGGAGCAACTAGGTGGCGCCACAGTGCACAAAGCACTGTGCCTAGCTCTACACCTATGATTCTAAGTACATCACACACACACACACACACACACACACACGTTTTTACCTACTTTCTATAATATTTTCTAGACATAGATTGAAAGTTAGAGATATTCTCTATATGGCCAAAGAATCTCCTAGATTATGAGGCCAATGACAAGAATAAGAAAGAAAGAAAGAAAAAAAGAAAGAAAGAAAGAAAGAAAGAAAGAAAGAAAGATAGATTTCACCTGAGATCTTAAATTCAAATTTCATTAATTTAACATTAGTCCAAATAGAATTAACATATTCCATATTACATTCACCACTACATAAGTATATCCATATTATTAGGAATATAAGTCAGCTAGGTGGCATAGGGTAAAGATCATTGTACTTGGAGTCAATAATACATGAGTTCAAATCTTGCCTCAGAAACTGTTTAGCTGTGTGACCCTGGATAAATCACAACTTCTCTGTGTTTCAATTTCGTTATCTATAAAATGGGGATAATAATAGCACCTACCTATCAGAAGGGCCATGAGGATTAAACAAAACAACCTATGTACTTTGCAAACTTCAGAATGATATATAAGTGCTATATATTCATATTCTTAGGCATATTTGTTACTAAGCAATACAGAACCAGATGCTGTTGGTAGCAAACAGTTAATTTTTTATACCTCTTAGGAGGAAATAGGAAAAGCAATAGATAAATGTTGCAAGTAATTGAAATGTGACCAGCTTTTCAAATTGGTCCAGATGTCAAGGTGATGATGAGAATCAGCTCTAAGTCTTTTTAACTGATAAAAATGCAAATGAGGATGCTTCTTTATCAATAGAGGATGGAGGAATTCCACTTTAAATAACTTCAAAGTTTGCTTTCCTCTTGGGTCCTCCTCTGATTCCAGTTCCAGATTTATCACATTAAGCTTGAGCACTGTCTGGAGAGTTCATCTGGCAATTATGGTTGAGCTGACTAATGCAGAAAGAAGCAGAACAGTGTTTTCTTCAAATAGGAAGTTCAATATTGGAGTTTATTTGAGGCAACCTGCTTTAGCGAAGAAAGCACAGGACTTTTAGTTTCTTTTTGTGTTTTATCTTCTACCATTAGATTATAAGATCCTTGAAGGCAAGAACTGTCTTTTTTATTTGTTTCCCCAGCTCTAAGCACAGTGCCTGGTACACAGGAGACCTAATAAATGGTTATTTATGATTGACTCTGCTTGCAGTCAGAAGACCTGTATGTGAATCTCTTCTCTGACACTTCACAAGCTCATAGATTTAGAATTGGAAGGAACCTTAAAAGTCAGCCTCCTTATTTTACTGATGAGGAAACTGGTTTAGAGAGGTAAATGACTTCCCCAAAGTCACAGAGCTAAAAAAATGGTAGAGCTAGAATTTAAATTCAGGTATTCTGGCTAAAAATCCAGTTCTCTTTTCCCCTCCACAACATTACTTTCCACAGCCTGGTTACCCCTTAGCAAGTCACTTAACTCGTTTGGGCCTCGGTTTCTTCATTCGTAAAATGAGGATAATACTGCTCGTATTACCTACTTCACAGGGTTATTATGAGGAAAGCATTTTGTAAATAGCAAAGTAATATAGAAATATTACCAATAAGAAGAGTAATGACAGCAATTGTGTATTTCCCTCTGAATGCTCAGGTAGAACTTCTGAATATTTAATGAGGTTTTGTCTGTCTCTCTTCTTTGTTTTTCAGGCCATGGTAAATGCTCCTGTGGTCACTGCATTTGTGAGAGAGGATGGTTTGGAAAACTCTGCCAATACTCAAGAAAATGTAACATGACTGAAGAAGAAAGCAAGAGTTTGTGTGAATCAGCAGATGGCATATTGTGCTCAGGGAAGGGTGAGTATTGAAGCCGAGTACCTGGCTCGAATTCTGTTATTCTTAGGTTTTCTATTGCATGAAAATTCTGCTGCCTTATATCTGTGGCATATTTTAAGACTGAAGATTAAACACATAAATCTGAGTAAATGGGATTCAGAAAACAGGGTTAATACCAAGAGAATCTCAGTCATAATTGCAACATCAAATCACAGCACATGCTAAAGCAATGAAGTATTTTGCCAGGGATCACATACATGAACAAATAAGAGAAAGGGTGATATGAGTTAGCTTCTGAAATGCTAGCATACAGGCACATGGTGAGGTAATTACAGGATACAGGACTGGCAAATAGATGCCTTTTAGCCTTGACGTGAGAAAACTACAGAAAGAGAATTGGTATATGAAGTGAGAATGAAAAGACAAATGTAGGGATTAGATACATTCTTTCCTCAAAAATTCAGCAAGCTTTTTGGGCACTTGGGTTTGTCTTCACCTATGGTACAGATTATAGAATATTAAGAGCATTAATAGCATTATTATAATATTATTAGCATTCTACTTGGTCCACTCTAATGCATTATGAGGGCCTGAAAGTGACCCTCAGTACTTTAAGGAATGGGACACAAGCACGGATAGTTCCCACCAAGTCAGATATGTTTTAAAGACAGATCCATGATAGACAGTTAATCTGAGGACCATCAATGCTAAATTTGGAAAGAATCATCCATACATTGAAATAGGATGGTGACTTTTTTTTTTGACCACATCAACTCAAAAGGTAGTTTTCCAAGACACAGTGGGGTTTTTGACCTGTATTGGTGCAGGGAGCATTTGCAGGGTGCAGAGATCTTTGAAATATCAATAGCATAACTGTTACTATCTGTCTCAATTCTCCTGTTAGCTGTAAACTCAATGAGGGGAAGGGCTATGTCATCTTGATACTTTTCTGTTCCCAGTACTTTAACGTCTTGGAAATAGTGGGAAAAGTGAAGTCACATTCCATTCACTTACGCAAAGCAATTTGTACCCACATGGGTAGGTATTTAAGAAATTAGACTGAATATTAGAAGTTGATATAAACATTGTTTATAATTTTTTTCTATTCTCTTTGTTTCTCAGAGAAGCTTTGTATATATTTGCTTCTGTCATATATTTATTTCAGTTCTTTTCACTTTTTAAGAGATCTAATGGTGGTAGTCAAATAAGGACTATGTGGCTATTTTGTGAGTGAATTTAATGTGACTCCTCTTATCAATTTTTTTTGAATTTGTAATTTTCCTTTTGAAATCAGAGTCTTTGTTTTGAATGGATATTTAGTCATATTTCAGGTTCACTTAATAGGTGTCATTTCAATTACATTTAATTCAATTCCACTAACTTTTATTCAGTGATAGCTTTATGTAGAATATGGTGATAAATAGTGGGAAAGAGGTAACATTGAGATGTGGCCTCTACCCTCATGTCCCTTAGAGTCCTTTAGGGGAATAAGACTCCCAGATAATTATATAATTATATAATAATAATATTATTACAATGTGCTTTAAGGATTGCTTTAAAATATGTTATTTTATCCTCACAACAACCCTGAGAAGTAGGTGCTATTTTTATCCTAATTTTACAGATGAAGAAACTGAGGCAGACAGAGATTAAGTAACTTGCCTTGGGGCACACAACTAGTTTCTGAGACAAAATATGAACTCAGCTCTTCCTGACTTTAGATCTTTTGCTATCCATTATACCACCTAGATTACTATAAACAATAGGTAAATACCTGATACTTCCACATCTAGAATATTCTATTTAATTCTGTGTGCCACCTTTTAGGAAGGAGTAGGTTGAAAGAGACTGAGTAGGATGGTGAGATTTTCAATCATAACCTATGAGGATAAGTTCAAAATACTAGGAGGATTTAACTTTTAGAAGACATGGTAGCATGGTGTAGTTGATATAGTTTTATCCCTGGGTTCAAAACCTACCTATGACATACTGGCTGTGTGATTCTGGGAATGTCATTTAGCCTCTCAGTGCTCTGGGTAGCTCTAAAAGTTTCAGAGAAGGTGCCAACTTGCACAGATCAGGTCACTGTCACTAAGAGAAGACTAGGAGTGAGAGGGAGGTATTGGAGATAGATGATAGCTCTCTTTAAGCATTTAAAAGATAGCCTTGTAAAAGAAAGATTAGATGTTTCAGTTTAGGCCCCTAGGGCACAATTAGGAGTAATGGGTTGACTTTGCAGAGGGACAGATTTAGGCTGGATGTCAGGAATAACTTCCTAACAATTAGCAGCAATCCAAAAGTGGAAAAGGAGATAACAGATTTCCACTTAATAGAGGTTTTTAAAGATAAGCTAAATGATCCCTTGGTGGGGATGTTATGAAAGAGGGTACCTTTTTAGGTATAAGTTAGACTAAATGCCTTTTGAGGTCCTCTTGACTCAGAGATTCAGAGATTTAAAGTATATGTCAATTAATTATTTAGAAGCTGTTTTTAACCAATATTCACAGGAAACTTATTCTAGGGTCAATTAGAGCTTTCGGTTCATTCATCTAGAGAATGATATTATTTTATTAGGATAATGAAGTCTTTGAGTTATAATCTTATAGGCTCCCCTGAATTATCAAGCAGGCTAAATTAATTCTGTTTAGTTAATTTTATTGATGTGTACTTAACTGTATTCTGTGGAAATTAGTATTTCATATCTGAGTAACGTGAGAGATGACACATTAGGACCACTACTCTATTCCAATCAGTAATACTCAGTTTCATATTTTACATAAATCATATAGGGATAATTAGATAAGATAGGTTCTTATGGTAGGCCTTTGTAGCAGGCCTCAAAGTTTAATGCAATATTCACTACTTGTTAACCAGTTATGAAGCTCACTTGTGCAACTACAAGAAGGCCGACAAAAATATCTCCATCCTGTTTTACTCAAATTCCAAGTCCAAACCCAGCATGGGCGGGATGCCTTGATTCTTTGGAAAATGCCCCAACTTATTTTTGTATCCTCAGACCATGCTGTCTTACTCAACATGAGCAGGTGATCATCTTATAACCACTTGGTTACTGGAGATGACTGTTACCTTGCCCATCTTAATTTTTGGCCCTTAAGAGTAAGATATATAAACCAATAGGATTCTGTTTTTGTATAGCCCCTCTAGAGTGTTCAGGTTTCAAACCTGATATCAAACCTTATGAAAATAAGGCCCTGGAGGAAAGGGGGCATCTCAGATCATGAAGAAGATCTGAGGTCCACTTCATGAGGTCCAAAGGGACCATGGACCCTTTAATAAAGTACCATTGGCTCAGAGTTCTTTTCAGATTGGTCAATTATAATCCCCACACATACTTATGACAATTCCCTCTTAATTCTTACTAACAGGGATTTTGTGGTATAGGAACTCCCTTCCCTGGTAGAGATCATCAGCTTGTCTGTGTAATCTTAGGGAGATATTTCGGGTGCTACTGAGCCAACAGTTTGCTCAAGGTCACACATGACACACTGTTTTTGTCAGGTGTCAATGCAGGGCTTGAACACCTGCATTTTTTACTTCAAGGCTAACTAACCATCTTGCCTTGCTGCTGGTTAATGTATGGTTAATCTCATTTCTTGACTCTTCCTGTTAACTTTTTGAACAGGAATTACTCAGTGCATAGGAGAATGTCTGTGCTACTAATGAAGCTGGTAACAAAATAATGAAGCACAACGATGACTTGATTTAGGAAGAGTTAGAAATTTGTGTGGAGGGGCATCATTCTCTTTTGGAGAGGAAGCTGACCTCAGAATCAGTAAGACATAAGTTTCAGCCCTGCCCCTGTTGCAAACAGACTATATTACTTTGTTCCAGACATTGAACTTACCTCTCCGTGTCCCAACCAACTCTCTAAGACTATAATTTGCAGAACAGTTAATGTTTTGCATTGGTAGAGGGAGTTTCCTGGCTTAGAGTTCCCTATATCAATGTAATCACAGACCCAGTTCAAAAATAAATGTGTAGGGGCAGCTAGGTGGTGCAGTAGATAGAGCACCAGCCCTGGAGTCAGGAGAACCTGAGTTCAAATCTGGCCTCAGACACATGACACTTACTAGTTATGTGACCCTGGGCAAGTCACTTAACCCCATTACCTAGCAATAAAATAAAATAAAATAAAATAAAAATAAATATGTAAATAAATGGAATCTTACGGCTTTCCCCACCCTGTCAAGGAGTACTCTTCTCTGTGCTGAAAATGTACAGCTGATACAATAAATCACCTTCAGCTGAGTCTTCCTCCCTTCTGATCTAAGCATAATGAATTCCTAGCCCCTGCTTTCCCTGGGTTGGAGCTAGTATTTGTAGATTTAAAAGACTTCCCTAGATTTGGGGTTCCAGGGAAATAAATAGAAATCAGGAGCAGTGAATAGAATAATGTTGACAAAGGGCTTTCCCACTAACACTGCTGTGTGGTGATAAGACTGAAAGCTCAAGATATGGCACAGATTATTATTGCCAAAGAAAATGAAGTGTTGGTCATGTCTTTTCCCAAGAGGAATCTATCAAGATTAAAGGTATCCTAAGATAAAGCTTCAGCAATAACTACTAATGAAGAAAATGTATGCTGGAGAGGAGAAAATTGACCTAAAATTTAGATTCTGAATATCAAAGTTAGAAGCAACCTTAGCGGTTATTTAGTCCAATCTATGCATAATTAGGAATTCTCTTTATAATATCCCGACACTGAGGTCATCTAGCATATGCTCAAAGACCTCCTGGGATGGATAACTCACCAGTGTATGTATGTATATATACAGTATAGATAGCTATATCTATATATGTGTATATATATGTATGTATGAATACATGTGTGCATACATGTTTACTCCCAAAATTGTTCATAGGGCAAGTGAAGGGTTGTGAGAGAGGATATCTGGAGGGGCACAGAGGGAGCCAGTTAACCAAAAGAGTATAAAGAAACAATTTTTAAAAATTCAGCTTTTGAGTTATAGTTTATCAGCTTGCCCTATGAAGGAATTGTC